ATGATCGCCAAACGATCTCAGCAAAGCATATCCTGATGTATGTATATGTAGCTCCTCGGATAAGGTATTGTTAAGGTATTCAGTTACTTTACCTTCAACATTGAGTACGTCGACCACAGGGATGAACATTTCCATATCTTTCACTGTTAATACACGTACTTTAGTACAGTTGCAAAAGAATTAATTACATTCTAATTTCACATACCTTTTCAAGGTAAAATGTCAACGTGACATTTTCGGAAATATCTCCTTACAAATTCATTGTATTCCATCAATTGCCGAACTGATCGAAACCGTTCCAATAAGTTTCTTTTGATTTGAGTGGATATAATGTTAAAACCGCCTCCGCAGCAGAGCAAGCAACATAATCTTCCACTGTGATTACGAGTACTGACGGTACAGCATAAAACAACACATTACTATAGCAACGACAATAGCTGTAATTTAGTGAAAAATCGTCGGAGCTCATAATTTCGTTTGTAATTTCTTGTAGTTGAATTTAAAATTACCTACCCCAGTGAAGTCGACGAAAAAACGTTGTATGCAATTCATGTATAAATCGGCGATTAAAACGCCTCATTTATACACTCATTGCATAAATAACTATTTCGAGGCGTGAGAAAACCGAGGCCACTTCGGAGCGCATCCATTCTTTCGGTTACAATTTAGTTGAGAAGTGGGAGTGCGAATTCCGTGCGTTCCTTGATAGAAATCCTGAGGCGACTGCTTTCGTTAATAGCCACAACGTTCTAAAGCATGAACCCTTAAATCCACGCGACGGTTTCTTCGGTGGACGGACCAATGCAATAAAATTGTACCATCGTGCGGAAGAACACGAAGAAATTAAATATTTAGACGTCTGCTCTCTGTATCTCTTCATTAATAAGTATGGAAAATACCCACTTGGACACCCCCGCATGCGTATGACACAGAAAGAACTCCGCACAGTGGATATTAACAGTGTGGAGGGTTTAGTGAAACGTACAGTGCTACCGCCTCAAACATTGTATCATCCTGTTTTACCGATGCGTTGTCACGGTAAACTAATGTTCGCACTATGTCTGAGTTGAGGCCATGAACCAGGAGGAGTGCAGTCATAACAATGAACAGCGACAGTTTACTGGTACTTATGTTGCTGATAAGCTTCGAAAAGCCGTTGCCCTGGGCTACACCATACAACAGCTGCGCGAAGTGTGGGAATACGACGTCACCCAATATGACAGGACAACACAATCTGGTGGATTGTTCTCGTCCTATGTAGATAACTTCCTCAAGACGAAGCAGGAATGTAGCGGATGGCCAGCGTGGTGTATCAACGAGGACGCGTGTATACAGTACCTGACTGACTATCTAGAGGCATGAGGGCATACGTCTCGACCGAAACAAGATATGTGAAAACGCAGGCCTTCGCTACATAGCCCAGCTATTCTTGAACCCGTTTTGGGGCAAGTTTGGCCAGTTTTAACAATTGAAGGTAAGTCGTAAATGGTCATGCGCTTTCCTGGATTATTCTTCATCCATTGATCTGCACAGTTATTAAAATACTTTTTAAAAGGACCATATACTCCTCGATCGAGTGGTTGCAGTCGGTGGGAGGTGTGTGGGGGAAACGACAATAATGTAATAAAATTAGCTCTGCAATATTCTATCAAAGAAATCGATACATGTGAAGAGTGATTGTCCAATAAAACTAGAACTTTGTTAGTCTCGCTAGGTTTGGCGTGTTTCACAAAATGATTCATAAAGCCAAGAAACTCATTAGGTACCTTTACACCAGCCCGCTTTCATGCGAGTTTGGCATGTGCCGTCCCAATCGCAAAGGAAAGAACGTCAGTGTAGATGCGATGTAAGCGCGCAAGTTTGGAACGTGTTTGTTCCTGTAGGTTTATCGCGCGGTAAAAGAGTGTCAGTTTCGTTTACACTAAAAGTTCTCTCGCGTACGATTCTCATTCAGAGTTGTTCAAACTGTGCACTGTGCAATATGACGCAAGACTCAAGATACTGGTCGAAAGAGTTGGTAACCAGTTTCATTGAGATGTACCAATCTTATCCATGCTTATGGAAAATAAAGTCTAAAGATTACACCAATAAAAACCTAAAAAATGCTGGATATGACCAATTACTTGAACTTTGCAAAGGGGTGAATCCCCAAGCTAATCGGGATTATGTGATTAAAAAAATTCAAAGCTTCCGCGGGTCTTTTCGAAAGGAAATGAAAAAAGTTTTGGATTCTAAAAGGAGTGGAGCAGGAGAGGATGATGTTTATGTACCCACGCTGTGGTACTACGATTTATTATTGTTCACTGTGGATCAAGAAATGCCAACCCAGAGTATCAGCAATACTGATGAGGAAGAAGCGCTTACTGAGGAAATGACAGTGGGTGATACAGATAAAGAAAACGATCCATCTCAGGTAATTATAATGCAAATCATATACATATATTTTTCAGTATTTATTAAGCTTTTCCCTTTGCTAACATAGCATCTTGCCAATGAACTTTGCCTTCTGAATTGAAGTATTTCGTATACTTGTCACGGTTAGTTTAGCGGCCACTGTGGAATTTTTTTGTCCAGCACTTTGTAAATTGGGAAGTTTTTCACCATCATTCCTCCAGTCACCCATGTGTACTTCATGATTTACCAAATCTTCTTGATCAAATGATGTGGGCGTTACATAAGAAGTTCCGCTTTTACTCAAGTAATTGTGTAGGGCACAAATAGCCAGAACAACGTAGTTTATGCGTTGTGGATCCGTGATATGTATAGCCGTATGCAAAATGCGGAAACGTGCAGCTAACAAGCCGAAAGCGTTCTCAGACACATTTCGCGCCCGGGATAATCTATAATTGTAAATTCACTTTTCATATGAAAGATCTCTTTGTGGGAACGGTTTCAAAAAATTTTCATGTAACGAACACGGTTCATCGCCTAGAAAAACAAAATTAAGCTTTCCCTTTGTTTCATCTTGATCCGGCAAATTTAGTTGTCCTGCATTAAATAACATGTATGTAATACATAAGTAATGTTTTAATATTGCTTTATAACAAATCTTTTTTACCTTCTATTAGTTTCCTATGAAATTCAGTATATTCCAGAACACCACCATCTGAAATTCTCCCATTTTTTCCAACATCTACGTAAATGAATTGGTAATCTGAGTTTACTAGAGCCATTAAAACAATACTATAAAAATTCTTATAATTATAATATTTGGCCCCTGTGTGAGGAGGAGGTACAATCCGTATATGCTTTCCATCGAAAGCTCCCCCGCAGTTTATAAATTGCCATTTACTTTCAAATCCTTGCGCAATGTTACACCATTCTTGTTTTGTTGTGGGAAACTGTAAAAAATAATACGGTTACCTTACCTTACAGGAATCAGCGGAATCAGCCCGATCTTCCACCACTAATGCAACATTACAAGCAAACTTAAGACAGTCAAAACCATGCGCACCCAAGCAAACCGGGAAGGCAAGTGCTAAGAAAAGGCATACTGACTTCATGGATTATTGCATGAAACAGTTAGAATCCAGTAATGATGTAGATGAATACGATGCAGTAGGGATTGCGTGGGGAAAGAAATTAAAGAGAATGGATCCAAGACAAGCAATTTACGCAGAAAGTTTAATAAATAAAATAATAATGGATGGAATGTTGAAAAAGTTGACGGAAACAACAAACATTTACGATGAAAGCAGATCATCTACATCGACACCATTTCCCGAATTTTCACCTTACACTGTATCATCAGACAACTCCTCTCCACAGTTAACAGTATCGAATATCGAATCTACATCTACACGATTTCCGCAATTTTCATCCTTCACTACTGTGTCATCAGAGAACTCTGCTCAACACTGTACATTATCTAATGTCGAAGAGACGGACCCATGCACAAGAACCTATTATCAGAACGTTGCAAACTTTTTGAAGTAATTCATAGATACTATGTACGAGTATTTAAGCATTTTATTAAGTTCAGAAATATTATATCTTTCATATACTTACCTTAAGATGTGTTTTTTTGAGAACTTGCCATATAGCTTTGCAAGTTTCGGGAATGATTTGACATAATGATGATGGCGAAATTCCAGTTGTAAATTTTAAGTCTTCAAACGAACGACCTGTAGCTAAATAGCGCAAAGTTGCTGTGAGCCTTTCTTCAGCACTTATACTTTCGCGCATAATTGTGTTCTCTTTCGATATTATAGGTGAAACTAACTCTAACAAGGCACTAAAGGTTGCCGAATCCATACGCAAGTAATTTTTGAAATCGTCAGGATAATTTTCGCGCAATTCTTTAATTAGCGGCATATGACCATGTATATTCCGATCTACCATCCATTTTTTGACCCAAATTTTTTTTTTATTTCCTGGATGCGACAAATACGCCACTGCCATGCAGAGCGCCACTTTCAATTTACGTTCTCTGTTATGTCTATACATCTTCTGTAGATCAAAATAACACTAAAACGACTAAAACCGTTTAGAAAGATTTTAGAAATTCTGAAACTCCACCCGACATGTTAATCCCGCGTGAAAGTTGACGTTTTTCGATTTACACTAACAGGTTTATCCCTTCACGTTCCGGAATGCGGGAAAGCATGTCGAACTGGAACGTTTAAATTTTAAGCTATAAACTCTTGGAACGCTACACTCTTGGAGCGCCACTGGCGTGCGAGATTGGCGCGTACGCGCCATTCTCGCATGAAAGTGCGCTCGTGTAAAGGTACCTATTTTCTCTTGCATCCATCCGGACTTATTTCCTTTCCCTACGCATCCAATAGGCCCATCTCTAATAAAATGATCTTTGAAATGTAACCGGGGAAATACAAACATTGGTGGAATTGCGTTACCAACTGCATTTACAGCCACACACAGCGTAACAAGTGTTCCACGCTCTTGAGATGCTATTGATCCTACTTGCTTGGTACCCTTTTTGGCTATTACTTTGGTTGGCTTTTGAACCGTAGAGACACCAGTCTCGTCAATATTGTAAATATTTTGTGGTTCAAAACTGTGTCTTTCCAATACAGTTGCCAGTTTATTAAAAAAGTTGGAAACGTTCTCTCTATTGAAATTCATGGCTCGTGCAAGGCTGGTTGCTTGGGGGGTTCGATGTGTTAAATGAGAATTTCTTCTCAGGAAAGCACAGAGCCAATCTTCACTAGCGTGTTCTACTTCATTCCATTTTTGAGGATAGTTAAGCCGGTTAGCAGATGCAAACTGAAACGCTAGTTTACGAAGATCCCTTGTGGTGAGCCCAAAGTACAAATCGACAGTTTTTTCACAGTATTTTACTAGCTGTGACTCCTGCTCAGCAGTAAACACCCTGTTGTAAGGATTGTATCCTACCTTAGGCTGTAAATTATTACGTAGAGCATTCACAAAACAATTTAATGAAACATGGCACATTCCATAACACTTAGCCACTTTTCTAACAGATGCCTCATTATCAATCACCCTTTTGGCTGCTTCTTCATAAATTACTGTAGGTATCAGTCCCCTTTCGGTCTTCCTTGGTCTTGGTTTCTTTATTCGGCAAAGGCAAAATCAACGAGTACAAATTGCTAAGTTCATCAAATGATCGCACAAAAGCTTAACAGTTTTTAGACCACGAGCCACCAATATGAAACCCTCCCCCCCCCTGTGGGAATTTATGACATACTTTTTTTTGTTGGCGTTACCTACCAGATTAAGAATTCAATTGTTTGCCCTTTTTAAATTACAGCATATTCGGGGAAATTAAGAAATACTGAAAAATGTAAAAAAATTAATGAATTTTTTATTTTGTTCAACTAACAACATATGATTTTATAGTATCATTTGTAATCAACTGTCATTTTCTTCCTCCTCGTGTATTAAGTCGTCTAAGTTTAGTACTTCGGGTTCATCTTCATCTTCAAATTCATCCAGTTCAAAGCTTTCTGGAACGTCAAGCAGTTCGGGAGGCAACGGATCTCCTTTAATCCAATCAAACATAAGCTCACCATTCTCCAACTTCCACCCATGTCCTACTGGAGTTGGTGTGGAGGGTTTAGCTACATGTGCGTTATTCCATACGTAACATTGGTAGTTGACACGTTTTATGTGGTTTTCTAATGACGTTTTGCATGGGGGAAGTAGACTTAAATCCACACCTTTATTGTTGGGCAGAGAAAATGTAGTTGTGGGAGAATACTTTTGTGAAAACAAATCAAACCGTAGTTTGTTTATATCTGTGTATTCCTTATTACTGTACAAGCAACAGACGAATTCTTCCAGGCCGGTCAGTAACGTGTCTGTAATTGTCGGTGATCCTCCTAATGATGTAAGGATAGGTACAAACTTTGAAAACTTTTCCAATTTAGATTTCACGGACAACTTTCCATGACGAACAAAGGAGCTGGTGGTGTCACATCCGGACAGGGCATGCACATTCCACAGAGCATGGCTCATTTCTACACCTAAATTATGAGAAATGGCGGTGACATTTATGACTCTTCGTTTGTTACCTGTTCCTGTATCAAAGTATACTATATTTTTAATGTTGCTGGCATATCTTAATAACAACATAAATACGTCTGTGTCCGGGGATCTAACTCTGATGGGTGAATTGTCTTGACAATATTTTGAAGCATGGAAGCAGTGTAATATTATTCTAGTATCTGCTTCCTCTTGTGAGGAGCATAGATCTTCTGGTATTGTATGTTTGATAGTTAATCCGTCTTCACTAGTAAAGCAAGTGCACTTATTACTATGTGAAAAGTAAAGATTCCTCCCATGTAAGTAGTGGACATATTTGTGCTGAGCCCATTCATTATGTAGCAGGTTAACCAGTTGTTCCTTATTTTTGCCATTAGCAAGGAATTTTTTCCAATCCCGTGGAATCTTGGTTTTAGGCCCTCTTATTAAAAACGTATCTCCACAGCCCCTTCTTTGTCTTTCAATGTTTTTAATAGATACATCTAAATAGGTATCCGTAACAAAATCTATCCTGCTGCATTTTGGAAAGCGGCTCAAGACAACCTCTGCTAGTTCACCAAAGGTTTCTGGAATATTAGTAAGAGCCTGAAAGTAAGCCATACCGTCAATCACATACATACATTCTTCAATCTTAGGAGGCTCGTGTACTATACCCTGAACCTCCAAAGCATGGAGTATTTTCAACTTTTCTGTTTTTGTTGGACATCCATCGGCAGTGGCTAATGCCCATGGTACTGGACCTAATGGATATGACATCAGCTTCTCAAGGCTAATTTACAAGTCAGTAGCGTTTAAACATGACGTTTACCCGTTTGCGTTTTGTCTTGTTAATCAACGTTTACAACTGAGTAACAAATAAAAATGTTATTGGGAGCAAGGAATTCAAATATATTTAATAGTTGGTAGTTTTCATGATTTTTCGTGTTTTTTCGGGATATGCTGTAATTCGCATGTGGCAAACACCTAAAACCTTAAAGTACATGTCAATACAAACAAAAAAATGTATGTGTCGAAAATTCCCACGGGGGGGGGGAAGGTACATACCAGCCTCCGCTCTATTTATGAAAAACAGGCAGACACAAATATTCTCAAAGAGGTAGGAGAGGCTTTATTCTTGAAACTATATGGATGCACAAGGTCTGCATGTCTGAATGACAGTAGATATTCAATGTAACTTAAAGCTGTTGCAAAAATGTCATTAAAATCCAAATTTAACATGGCATCCCTCGCTCCAACATCTGGAGCTGCTGAACAACACGCTTATCGAGCATCTATCAAATTCAAAAATGGAATGGAGATAAGGAAATCAGCGCTACGGACTGGGGATGGATCATGCAGCAATGTAACTTTGGTTGAAGTCGAGGAAAATGAAGAACTTGTCATGGAAGTTTAGGAAATCGGAAATGGTCAACACCAATTTATTTTTTAATGTGAATAATCTGAAAATATTTTTTACTTAAAATTAAGATACCGCAATTATTTTCTTCTAAAATAACATAAACAAAATATTACATGCATTTTCAAACAACGGGGGTAATGTACCAAGAAATGGTGCTTTGGCTTAAGATCTTTGAAATATTTCAAGTACAACTGGTGGTGTTCACTTATCAAAATATATAACATTGAAGCATGCTCGGGGAGTATAGAGGTACTCAAACATATTTCAATTATTTTCAACAATGTTAGATATCATTCCCAAAGCTCATTATCTTCTGGTATAAGATCACCAACGATTAAACTAAAATTTCGTACTAAGTTTAACATTTCTGCTGAAGACATAACGATACATCCTTTCCTTTAACGTTGATTTAATGAATTATACTGAAAAAAACGAATTCTATTATTTAAACTATTTAATGTGAAATATCGATCTTTGATAAATGTTGAAATGATTTTTGCCATATCATAGCGACATACACCTTCTAAAAGGTCATGCATTATATCGCATGCAGTATTTTTGGTTGGATGGAAATTAGGCAAACTATTAAAAACACACCTTTCTTTAATACCGCGAGAACATGTGGCGACATCAGTTTCATAATTTTTCTCATTTCGAGCGAGTTGAGTATCCTCCACTAATTGACTATGAATCAATTTTTTATCGGCAATGCAAAACCTACATGGGTAATTTGACGAAAAACTTTCATGGTAACCTAAAACGGAGTGAATCCCTAGGTTGTCCCCCACCAATAAAACTAGCGGGAAACAGATATTAATATTCTGTCCAGAATATTTAACGTTAAGTCCTGTATTTTCTAAAGTGGTTAATTCCGCTACTAACTTACTAAATACAGCATGATTTCCAAACGCAGTTTTATCATTGGCGTTAAATAACTGGACCAAAAATATATTATCTAGTTGTGAGGAGTATTGTGGAGGAATTACAGGTAAGGTGTAATAAACTGCCCCTATTTTATACACCCCGGCATGCGATCCGAGTGGATTAGACGATTCAAAATCGTCATAGTAAATTATTAATGGGAGCAAAATTTTGTTTGGTAACTTAGTTACAAGCTTCCGCCAATAGTTAGCTTGCATTAGATTTTGTATAGAATTCGAAGAAGTTTCTAAAAAGTGTTTGTATTCAAAAATTTTTTCCAAAACCCCAGGTAATTCCAAAAATGCTTGCAAGGTGTCGATCATACTAATAAATATACCTTCACTTTCTTTAATGTTTAAAATAATTTTATCGTTTTTTCTTAGAGTGTCAGTTAAAGTTCCAATTGCAAAACTTTGAGGCTTTATAAAATAATTACTTTTTTCAAAATATTTTATTCGCAGGTGCTCTGTCTTTAAGTCAAAGAAGGGGTTATCTAAATGATTAAATACTGCTTCAATTTCCTCAATTAGTTCTACTGGAGCATTTGTCATATACGGTTTAATTTTATTTTTAATCATAGTTATAAATCCTGTTGAAAATAGTTCTGCTGTATCATTAATTATTTGATTTATGTCAG